TCTCTCTCTCTCTCTCTCTCCTGTCAAAAGAATTGATTGGGGGACGCGTGAATCACTTCTGTTCTTAATGACGTCTACGGATATCTGTGATTAATTGACATGTGGACTGACAAGTACCCTCCGATTGGGCGCCAGCCTCCCGTATCTCCCATCCCAACGCGACCTTTTCATTACAGTGAGGAAAGGACACGTGTATGTGAGTGGGACGTACGAGAAGCCGTCGCACAAATCGGTGGGCAATATTACTTCCCTTCGGCCGATCGTTGTTGAGGATTCGTAGAAGCTGGATTTGTCATTATCGATACGCACTTCCCGCCCTACTCGATATTGTTGCCCTTTAATGAGCTGATCGTCATTCCGTGGACGGCAGTGGCGCCCCATTGGCCTCGAACCCTGTGCACAGAGTGCTTGCGCTTCGAACGCTACGAAGCAAAGGGCTTTCGCTACCGAATACGGAGTGAGGACGAGCATAAGGAAAGAGCCACTCGACTGAGACCATCCACATCAGACTCCGAACTGACCATCGAACGACGACGAGATTTGATACGGAAACGGGACACGCGGAACGTACCAAAGCCCTTCCGCTCTAAACGACGGGCTGTAGCACGGTGGGAAGCCCGACAATACTTTTTAGATTGAATTTGGATTTTTCTCTCTTCGCACCTTGTCCGCGCGCCCATTCCGCGACGCGCGAAAACAATTGACTTGCTTCATTGGACCATTACGGGGGATTTCAATTCCGTCTGTGTCCCCACACTCAATTTCCAATAATCCTTGGCACAACCCATCTCGCTGTTTTTCTGGGCCTCTTTTCGCAAAACTAACACTCCGAACGAAAGACAGCACAGGGCGTGAGGTTGGTATCGAAGCCGACACGTGTCGGTTCTGATGATAGTAAGTGGAACTGGCGAGAGGTAGGAGAGACCCTCAACTAACTCGTCGGGATCGCCCAGTAACCAGGTCTCAGTCTAGTGCGGCTGCACCAGCAACACCAATGGTAGACGGTACTAGGGTGATCGTTAGCATCCCTGCCCCCTTCCCCTTCTTCCCTAACCATACTCATCCCGAGGCTTGGCTGGAAGCTGTCGAAGCTCAGAGCTACAGCGCAGCCGTTCTCCCCCGGGTTCTGATATTGTTACTTCGCAACACATCCCGTGACTGGTTTAGAAAACATACGTGGGTAGATTGGGATACTTTCAAGCGAGCATTCTTGGGTCGATTCGATACGGTTAGTGAAGATGCCGCCTGGTACGTACTCAAAAATCGACCCCAAGGACCAGGGGAATTGTTGCCCAATTTCGTCGATCGGTTCCAAACCACGTTGGACAAATCCGGGCAGCACGAGAAATCCGCTCGAGATTTGTTCATCGATCACCTACGAAGTCGGACATTAAAGGGCAAACTGCAGAAGAAGGTCCCGCCGAAAACACACCAGTTATCGGCCATCATCACTAAAGCATTAGAGCTGGACCTGGCTGATACAAAAAAATATATCAGTCAGGGAGACGAAGATATTACAGATACCATACGGGATGTAACGGTCAAAAGGCGATCATGGTTGCAGGTGGTCGAACGGTTTTATCCCCGCCCCGACCATGACCTTCCCTGCGGGATCGTTTCCGATACCCCACCTGCTTCTCCTCCCTCTCCCCCGGTGAATCAATCGATCGCAGCCGTTAGAAGTGGAATCTCATCCGTACCCCCTTCGCCGGCCGTAACCAACCTACACCTTGCCCAGATGATCCAGACGGCCACTACCAAGCAGTCCGAATGGATGAGCAACTTGATCCAAATGCAGGCCGCTCATATGGAACGAATGAAACAGATAATGAGCCGACTCATTAAGCCTAACCTGGCACCTGCTCGGCCTGCCCTTGCATCGTTTCCACTCTTACCTGCCCCACCTGCTCCAGGGTTCGCGCCCCACTTCCCTCATCCAGCAGGGAAGATTGAATGCTTTAACTGCAAACCGCCCAGGCATTTCGCCCGTGACTGCCCGCAGCCAAAACAAAATCAACCTCCCCCTGCTGCGGCCCCTGTCGCCCTTAATCAAGGACGAGTGGCCACTTTGATGGATACAGATCAAGAAAGAGAACTCGTGACATATGCCCCTGAGCAGCCTGCCCCTTCGATGACACTGACGTCGACATCAGGAGCTTCCTCCTCTGACGCTGCTGACATAGTCGATCCGCTCGAATATCTTCATCTTGCAGGCATGATCGGAGCAATCCGATCGGTCCCGGATGATCTCGAGTGGGTCGATCGCGAATCCAATCCTAGACCACAATTTCGGACAGGAGACATTGATGTACTGAAAACGCTCAAGCAACTAGATATTCGCTTACTCATCCTAGTGGGACATCTTCTTACCATATCTGAAGTGGCGAACGATAAGCTTCTACAACATTGTCAGAAAAATCAAAAGCGTTTCACCTATCAACGCATACAACGGATGTTGAAGAAGAAAAAAGAAAGCGAGGAAGTTGCACCCCCTGAGCCTGACACGAACGAACCGGAACCCGAAGCCGCACGCATAGCAACAATCTCTTTAGCAGAAAAAGATCACTTCGTACGAGCTCGACCGGTATTATGGAAAAGTACGGAATATGACTGTGAAGTTTGGGGCAAGTCGTTTAATGCCCTTATTGACACAGGGTCTTCTGCTGTGGCCATATCATTGGATACTGTCAAAAAGACGGGACGACTGGGATCCATTCTTCCTCAATCTGACAAAGATAATTATGTCTCTGCCGACGAGGAGGCAATGAACATCGTAGGCATTATCGAGAACGTGGTTGTAAAAGTCGGGCGAGTATACGTCCTTGTTAACGCGCTCGTGATAGATGTACGTTCCTATTCTGTGTTATTGGGATTACCTTGGGCGATGGCGGTAAGCGCACGTCTGCATTTCGATTCGAGACAATTGGTGCTCACGCAAACTGGGGGAAAGCCTCAAACTGTCCCTTTGCGAGTTTCCACCCGAACGATAAAACGGGTCCCTAACTCGGCCCAAATTGGGATGATTCGATGCATTGATCCCAAGGAGTGCCCTCCCTTGGATATCAGTGATGGAATCAGGGCAGAGGAATACGAAGAAGAGCTGCCTAGCGAAGATGAATGGAAGCACCTGGTTGAACTTTTCGAACACGAAATTCCCGAGGAGTTCCAAGTGTACCCCGACCCTGCTCGAAATTTCCACGTGGATTCCGGAGACAGCGCGTTTGCGCCTCCGATAAGTCAAGGTAGTCCTTCGGCCCTGCTTGGGGAACCTATCTTACAAGTATCCGACCTGGCTGATGATTTGGAACCCCCTCGCACCCTTTAAGAGGAAGCTCTCTCCTTATGAACGCGTTATCAGCAAACGAAACAGTATTTGGATGTCTCTGTTTTTTCGCCCAGATCGTTACTAACGGCAGGAACCACCATCGCCTTGCTTACACAAGAGGGGGAGGCACCGATAAGTGATGTACCTAATCTGATGCAAGAAATGACAGATCTAACGGGGCTAACTGTGATGTTGAAGCTAAGGAAACGGAGATGATCAGCCCCGCTGAGTCCCAGATGATAACAACTATCTTCTCTGTTCGCACCAGTAGTTCCGTTTTTTCTAGTGTCCATGATCGACGGGAACGGCCGGTTGATTGGATCGATATGCCCCTTACGATTTCCGGGGAATCAACAATCACCTTGCCAGGTCACGTCCCCGCGGAGCTTCGAAAATCATTGATCCGTGTGTTAAACGGTTACGCAGACGTATTGAGCATATACGACAATGACATCGGCGTAACGAATGTGATCGAGCATGCCATTCTCACAGGAAACCATCTGCCCATTAGCTGCGCTCAGTACCGATACTCGCCAGCTCAAAGAGCGGCCACTTTTCAGCGGATTAAGGAGTTTGAAGCTAATGGATGGATCGAGCCCGCCATAGGTCCATGGTCTTTCCCTGTAGTGATCGTGCCTAAAAAGGCCGGAGGGATTCGCATTTGTATTGATGACGGAAAATTGAATGAGATCACGATTAAAGATATATACCCTCTCCCCCGGATTGATGAGTTGTTGGATGCGATTGGGAGTGCTCGATTTTTCAGCAAGTTTGATGTTCGCCATGTGTTCCATCATCTTCTTGTTCGAGAGGAAGATCGTCCGAAAACAGCATTCGTGTTTTTCGAAGGTACATGGCAGTGGATTCGATGTCCGATGGGTATCTGCAATGCCCCTGCGACCTTTCAGCGGGCCATGAACATGGCTTTTCATAATTTCGTAAGGAAGACTCGTTTGGCGCAGAGCATCATCAACTACTGCGTGATTGTGTACATGGATGACATCCTGGTGTATTCGAGTTCTTACGAGGGACACGTGCATCACATCGAATGAGCACTGCATGCGTTACGAGATGCAGGCTTCAAAGTGGCGCCTGAGAAGTGTCAGTTTTTCCTCACCACCATTTCCTTCCTAGGGCACGTGGTGACAGACAAGGGACTCCAACCGGAACCGCAGAAAGTGGCGGCTGTCAGAGACGCGTCGGTGCCTACGACTATCACGCAAGTTCACGCCTTTCTGGGCTTAGCCTCGTACTACCGAAGATTTATCAAGGGTTTCGCGGCGATTGCGGGACCCCTCACAAATCTGCTGCACAAGGATCAACTGTTGATCTGGACGCCGGAATGCGATCAAGTGTTTTCCACACTCAAGGCCGCTCTCATTTCGGCTCCGGTCCTTATAAGACCGGATCCCGAAAAACCTTTTGTTCTCATCACTGACTGGCAACCAGAAGCGATTTCGGTGATCCTTGCCCAGGTGGGACCAAGCGGACTCGAGAGTGTGATGGAATATGCGTCCAAATGAGTGCCCGCCTGCAAGCGCAACTACGCCGCTCCAACTGGGGAATGCTACGCGGCCCTCTGGGGAATCAGTCACTTTCGTGCTTATCTATACGGGCGTAAGTTCACCTTGGTAACTGATCATGAGCCCCTATTGACTCTGAAAAAATCGAAAGATTACTCTGGCATGATCGGGCGATGGTCAACGGTGCTGCAGAGCATGGACTTTGACATCCGTCATCGGAAGCATGAGAGACACGGGAATGCGGACGGACTGACACGGCTGCACCGACCTGAAAAAGTTCCGAAGAATGAGGAGGTGATTCCGTGGAACGAACCGGAACAGGAGATTGGACCCCGGTACGACCAAGTGGAGATTTTGTCAAAGCAGAAGGTGGCACGAGGACTAATTTGTCTGTTCTACTTTCCCCACAAGTCAGTCCCATCTTTCCTCCTCTGTCATCATGACTACCCCACCTGCCTCCGCAACTCCTTCTTCTCCTACTACTTCTGCCCCTCTCACTTGCTCTGCTTTCTTCGCCACCCTTCTTGATAAATTCTGTTATTTTTGCACGTATATTGCACGGGTTTATGGGGTCGACTGTCATCCCTTCGACACCGGATTTGTCGATTGGGTAGGATGTGCCACGTATGTCAACAGTGCGCACGGGGCCTGCGTTCGATATCGGACGAGTAGCAAGGAATGAAGGTGCCCCCTGTGTAGAACGAACAAGCTCCCCACGGAGGTTCGATTCGAGGCCGTCCGTACGGACGGCCCTGAATACGACGAAAAATACCGACGAGCGGAGGTTTGGACGGATAAAATTTTATTAGCATAATTAGCGGGATTATCATTGGGCCACCTCACCAAACACGACAGATGTAGGGCAACCGAGAGATCTCGGGACTATCGATGGATCAACGGTCATTTGGAAAAGCGTAAAACTGACGGATCAGGTTCGTGGTTGACGGTTCCCCATCCCTTCCAGAGATATGATTGGATCCGATCCGCTCACGAAGAACAGGCCGCTCATTTTGCAGTACGTGTCACAGAGGCAACTGTAGACCAAAACCGATGGTTCTGGTCCAATATACGAGATGGCGTCAAGTACATTGTCGCTAACTGTCTGGTCTGTGCTGCTGATCCCGCCCCTATACGGGGACCAAACACAATCGTACCAACGGAAGTAGAGCATCCTTTCCAGTACATCGAACGATTCCTCTATACCCACCTAGATACGGAAGAAATTCTAACTGACAATGGATCGGAATTCAAAGGTGAGGTAGAAGAATTGCTTGCGCGAAGGGGCGTCACGCTCCGACATACGGCACCCCACGTGTCCCAGTTGAACGGGTTGGCCGAGAATGCCAACCGTATGATTAAAACCGCCCTTCGCAGGAACTTAGCGGCACACGACATGCGTCCTTGGCCCGAGATCGTATATCAGATCGTCGGGATCCACCGGGCCACCCCTCATGAGTCTACGGGGTTTACCCCCTTTCAGCTTTGAACTAATAGCCTCCCCTGTATCGATTACCGGGGTAACTCGGAAATTGCTGAAGCAGGGGGTAGAGACACGCATGCAACTCTCAAGGCCAAGGCCAAAAGGTACACCGAATTAATGGAACGGGTCGTCCCAAAGCTAGCCTGAAAAAGGCAAAGGATGACCGAACTAGCCCACGGTAGACAGGTCCGTAGCTACGAGGCTCGGAATGGAAATGCTGGGCCCCAGCATCAATATAAATTAGGGGACCTAGTGCAGGTACGTAAATGTGCACGCGACCGGAAACTCGCTCCCAAGTTTTCTGGCTGTTTTCACGTTGTCGAGCTTGGACCCAACGGCGCCAATACGGTGCGCATCGAGCCTGAGGCTAGTGCCATCCATAGCTCTGTCCCCATCGTCCGACATACCTCCTTCTTTCGTCTCCTTCCTCCTTCCGATCTTCCTCCTTCTTCTTCCTCGGAAAGCGAGGAGAACTACGACGATCTAACTTTCTCTCCTCTTTCTCCCTCTTGTCCATCGTCCTCCTCTCCCACCTCGCCATGAGTTTTATCACGGAGCGGGTTCTTGAGTCTTGACGCACAACTTTTGCAGCCATATGGCCACGTCTCAAAGATTCGGCAAGTGTGTCACCCTCGGCTCAATGCAGATCTTCGGCGTTTGATGCGATTCTTCTACAACGAAGGTATCTGTGCCACCGCCGCGTTTCGAATCGAAGGAATTCCTCACGCAGTAGTATTCGCGGAGGTAACCGCAGTTCATCGGCGAGCGGGCCCCAGAACGAGCCACGTCACCACGGTTGCGGCGTTAAGCGGCGACATCAGCTCGGTCAATCCGCAGTGGCATACCTCGATCTTGACCTCACTGCGCGAGTGGACGGAGCAAGTGTCCAACGTGTGGCAGCACGTCCTCGCCCGAGAAGGGTATAACCTTATCCCGATCTTTACACCGGATCTAGACAATATTCGCCGATCACCGCGCGAGCGGCCAGTTGCGATCCCAACCCTCGTCCCCTTCCCACATCCCCAATGAACCACGCCGATCTCCTCGCCCCTCGCTCTATCTTTGGTCTCCCCTCTCTCTTCCCCACCTTCTGGCAATCCCATCTTCACCCTTCTCTTTCCTTCTCGTTCGAGCCTCTTTCACTCCCTCTTATCAATCCTGGACATTGGCGACTGTGGCACGAAACTTTTGAGGAGCTGTTTTTCTGCTTGGTCAGAGTACATGTGACGTGGACGGGGACTAGCGAGCATCCCACGTGGATCGAGAATCCGGAGCTGCTGATCATACAGGCTTGGAGGACTAACGTGGAAGAAGATCTTCTTGGCTTTCTCTTCGGATTGGTACGGCCGGGTCGACGCCACTTGATTGCGCAGGAGCTTATCGCACCGATCGTGCAATTGGCAGACGATCTCTCGCCCGACATCTATTTTCAGAGTGACGACAGCCCTGCTCCGTACATTTTCGAGCGATCATTGGATCCGTACCTTCAGTGGACTGCGTGCTTGGAGGAACCTAGGGACGAGGATACGCTACCGTCGTGGCAGGAGTATCTGAAGCCGTACGAGATCATCCCTCACGCCGTCTATCCAAGGGCAGAGGAAGTGGTGATCGACGACGACGACGAAGAGGACGAAGACGAGGAAACATCGGAGGAAGGAAGCTATATTGAACATAGGGAGGGCGAGGAGAGCGAAGGAGAAGAGGAGGAAGAGTAAACTGGATCTGAGTGGGAAGCCTTGCCGGAGGAAGCGACGCGTACAGGAACGGAGGCAGACGATCCGGAAGCGGCGCGGAAGCGCGAAGAAATTGCCACCAAAAAGCGCCAGCTGGAGTTCGCCAGCCAAGCTAGCCTGCGCATCGGTAACGATCCGACCAGGGATCCAGAGCCGCCGAAGCCCGAAGATGGCGACCCTGCAGCCGCCACCTCAAGTACTGCGCGACAGAGACGGAGCCGATCCCCCTCCTCCTCCAGCCCCACCCGTCCCCCAGTTCGCCCACGTACCGATGCGGGCGATAGGTCTTCGTCCTCAGACGCTGTCCCGCCGACCCCTTGATTTCCTCACCGTCGAGCAGATCCGTACCCCCGTCACCTTCCCTTCTCATCCTTTCCATCCCCATCTCTTCCGCGACTTCTATTATACCCGTCTACTCGCCACTGTCCACCCCCACACCTCCGTTCAATCTGCTGCCCCCACGTTCTGCTGGCATCTCCTGCTGTTCAGCGCTGCATGGGAGCGATGCAACGTGGTAGAGGTTTACTGCGTCGCCACGGGGACAATCCCTGCTTGCCGCCACTTCGAGATCTTTTGAGCGGCGCTCTTCCGCACCCTCTCCTCCTTCTATCGCGACTACCTCGCTTCCCTTCCCCGCAGCGGCGATCATTTTCCCCACTTCCACCGGATCATCCGATATGAGGAGCTCCCGGTGACAATGGAAGGGATGAATCGCTTCCTACCCCCACTTCCTCCCCGTGATCCCCGCGAGACCCCCTCCATGTACCGTCTCTATTGGCCTATTCCAACTAGGCGGTAGGCCCCATTCAGGTAACMCCCCCCCCCCCTCCTCTCCTCATCGGCACGAATTAGTAAGCTTTGTGGAGATCCCGCCATCGATGATGACGTCAACCTACGCTCTGCTTCGACGGGAAGCAACGAGCTGGGGTGCAGAGCACACGGAGATCAGGTGGACCGTGATGGCGTCACCTGAACGATCTCTACAGAGCAGGGTGTCGCATATGACCGGGTTGCGGAGGTCTTGTCATGGATGTTGTCGCCATCTCATCCGCGGCTCAGTTACCACCCCTTGTGCTTCATTCTGGAAGCTCTGCTGATATGTTTGGTTCCTCATGCATCACTCTGTTCTTCCCCTTTTCTCTTTCCTCCTCCGCCATGACATGCAATCAGGAGATCGCATAATTTTGGAACCCCCTGCGCGTCACATATGTGCAAACCACTTCCCGAACCCGTGCCATCTTCCGTACCACTTCTTTTGCTTGTATCATACCGATCCCCAGAAAACCCCGTTTTGATTTTTTTTGTTTATTTTCTGAAGGCTTTTTCGACTTCTGGGATCTGTTTTTCCTTTTTTGCGAGTCGGGAAATACATGGGAATTTACGTGCGCCTTAGCGAGCGCACTAGGAATTGGGCTCGGCAGTTGGGAATTCCGGGATAAGCGGAACTTCGACGTGTTCTTTTCGAGTGTGCGAATGTTCTTGGGCGCATCGGGAGAAACTCTCGGAATTTTGCTTGAATACGAATAGGCGTAGGATTTTCTTTTCCCTCGTTGCTTTTTCGTGCATGGATATGGTGATTTCAATTTTGAATTAGGAGAGGAGCAAGCCGTAACTGTTTCGGTGCCTTTTTTTTTCTTTTTGTTGACGGCGCCGCGTATGCAGAAGCTTTCTCCTCTCTGTCCCCCGCATCGCTCCCTCCCACACCTCCCTTCCCTTCTCTTTCCTTTTTCTCTCTCCCTGTAATTGTTTTCCTTCTCTCTCTCTCTCTCTTTCCCGCCTTGCTTTTTGCGCGCCCATTTCCCTTCCTTGATCATCTGAATCTTGGACCCGTCTTGCTCTACTTCTCGCGCCTTTTCTCTTCTCACCCTCTGAGTCTGGCGCACGACGCCCGGTCGATCCATTGATAACTCCCGCTCGCCAGTCAGGTGCGCGGATCAATAGGACCTTCCTATTGCGCGGCGAATCTGATTGGTTGAACCTTGAGTTTCGAGGGATCAACATGGCGTTCGTAAAGCACTCTTCTCAAAGTCTCCTCCTCCTGCTTCTCCTCTTACACCTCTGCCTTCCCATCGCCTTCTTACGTTCTCTACTCCTAAGCGAGCTTCCGGGAAGCAGTGGCTAGGCAGAGTGGGTTGATGCGAGTCGGAAAGTCCTGTCGGGCTGACGATAGGCTGGCCGGTTGCGCGCCTGATCGCCACGACGGACTTTGGGATCCGGGCGAACCGTGTCGAGTTTACGACAGCGGGTTGACGATCGCAGTGGTGGGAGTTAGCACGCGACGGCTGGGATCGTCGGTGCGGGTATGAGGATCGATGATCGGAGTTGAGTTGATTGGCCTGGGGCCATATTGGAATTAACGGCGAATGCGCCTTTGTTGCGGATTGTTATCTTTGGCGTGAGTGTACAGCGGCGACACCGAACTTTTCTCTTTTCGGACCTTGCCATCTTCTATTTTGATTTTCTTTCCCTCGACTCTCTCTCTTTCTTTTTCCCTTTTTGAATGATGATGCGTCTGAATGATTGTCCCTCTCCTGAATGGGAATGAGTCGGCATCCTGTTTTTGTGTGAGAGAACTTCTTCCGGAACTGTTCCATTAGTTTCCAGGGTAATCCACCTACGTAAGGACCCTGTCTTCTTGTCTTGTGAACGGTGGATGCGTGTGTACTGTGCAGTGCGATCCATCTTTTCTTGTGCATATCGCATTTTTGCACCTTCCACAGTGAATGCATGTATGGAAACGTGTGACTCTCTTTGTGTTGATTAGACAATTGTCGTCGGAATTTTGTTCGAGAATGCAAGAGTGTTTAGATTTGTGGTTCCGAGTGCGCTGCGCATGCCATCTGCCTTATGCTGCACGACATCAGCAGCCAAGCCGCCAGGCGGCCGTGAGAAACAAGGTGCCAGGGACAAACGTTGTGTGGAACTTAGTCGCGGGTCGGTCCCGTGCATGATCAGGCTGATGTGTGTCTGCTCTCTCTCTCTCTCTCTGTCTCTGTCTCTCTCTCTCTCTCTCTCTCTCTCTATCTATCTATCTATCTATCTATCTATCTATCTATCTATCTATCTTTCTATCTATCTATCTATCTATCTCATCTCTCTATCTCTCTCGTGTCAAAAGGATTGATTGGGGGACGCGCGAATCGCTTCTGTTCTTAATGACGTCTCGGGATATTTGTGATTAATTGACATGTGGACTGACAAGTACCGTCCTATTAGGCGCCAGCCTCCCGTATCTCCCATCCCAACGCGACCTTTTCCCTACAGTGAGGAAAGGACACGTGTATGTGAGTGGGACGTACGAGAAGCCATCGCACAAATCGGCGGGCAATATTACTTCCCTCCGGCCGATCGTTGTTCAGGATTCGTAGAAGCTGGATTTGTCATTATCGATACGCACTTCCCGCCCTACTCGATATTGTTGCCCTTTAATGAGGTGATCGTCATTTCGTGGATGGCAGTGGCGCCCCATTGGCCTCGAACCTTGTGCACAGAGTGCCAGCGCTTCGAACGCTACGAAGCAAAGGGCTTTCACTACCGAATACGGAGTGAGGACGAGCATAAGGAAAGAGCCACTCGACTGAGACCATCTACGTCAGACTCCGAACTGACCATCGAACGACGATGAGATTTGATACGGAAACGGGACACGCGGAGCGTACCAAAGCCCTTCCGCTCTAAACGACGGGTTGTAGCACGGTGGGAAGCCCGACAATACTTTATAGATTGAATTTGGATTTTTCTTTCTTCGCGCCTTGTCCGCGCGCGCATTCCGCGACGCGCGAAAACAATGGACTTGGTTCATCGGACCATCACGGGGGATTTCAGTTCCGTCAGTGTCCCCACACTCAATTTCCAAAAATCCTTGGCACACCCCATCTCGCTGTTTTTCTGGGCCTCTTTCCGCAAAACAAACACTCCGAATGAAAGACAGCACAGGGCGTGAGGTTGCGTACCCCTTCCTTTGCTTGTATCATACCGATCCCCAGAAAACCCCGTCTCGATTTTTTTTATTTCTAGTCTGAAGGCTTTTTCGACTTCTGGGATCTGTTTTTTCTTTTTTGCAAGTCGGGAAATACATGGGAATTTACGTGCGCCTTGGCGAGCGCACTGGGAATTGGGCTCGGTAGTTGGGAATTCCGGGATAAGCGGAACTTCGACGTGTCCTTTTCGAGTGTGTGAATGTTCTTGGGCGAATAGGCGTAGGATTTTCTTTTCCCGCGTCGCTTTTTCACGCGCGGATATGGTGATTTCAATTTTGAATTAGGAGAGGAGCAAGCCGTAACTGTTTCGGTGCCTTTTTTTGGGTCCGTGTTCAGCCCGAACGGCCGAACGCATCCCCAAGGGGTCCCATACATTCGGGCGTTCGGGTTCGGGCGTTCGGCTCGTCGTGAACGCCGGTTACCCTGTATATATATATATATATATATATATATATATATATATATATATATTAGTAATTGTATTAGATGAGATAGATTGAAAGAAAATACATTGAATATATTAATATATTCAATGTATTGAATTAGTAATTGTATTAGATGAGATAGATTGAAATATATATATATATATATATATATATATATATATATATATATTGACGATATATACTACGACTTCGCTAGCTTCCTGCTACGGTTTTCACCGGTCAGGTCGAGCGACAGTGGTCGGGGCCGTCACTACACGGCCATGCTGTGCCTCTAGTGCCAGCGGCGTGTCTGGAGTGTATTTTTTGGCTGTGACAGACCTTTCTTTGTTTCGTGGGTTTTTTGCTGGCTTGTGATGGGGTGTGAACCGACAGTCTGTAGAGTTTTCCATCTGGTGTGGGTGAGTGATAGTCTACTTCGATTGTGGTTAAGGTGGATCATCACTTACAGTGTAATCAGTGAGGGGATTCTACAGACTGTTGAGGGTTCAGCCTCCTGATGAGCCGGTGAAACTCCGACGAAACAGTTTGTCACAGCCCCTCGTTTGTTGTCCTCTT